TAGGTCTACTAATGCATTATTTGCAATATTTAAAATTGGATGTTTAAGTCGTAAAGGTTTGTTCATTAGTTAATTAAATATAGGTCGTAAAGGTCCCTTAAATAAATTAGTAATTTTTACTACTGCAATTAATGTAATTAATAAATAATTTATTAATAAAATTGTTAACAAATTAGTTGGATAATTATATAGTTTGTTTAAAGAAAGAGAATTTTCTATTATATATGAATTTAAATTAGAAATTGATTGAATTTCTATATTAGAATAATTTAATAGAATTCTTTTGTCAATAAAATATAATGAAATAATTATAATAAAAAAAATAGAAATTGATGAAATCAAAATTTTTGAAGAAAATGTAAATATTTCATTTGAAGCTAAAGAAGTTACATAAATGAATAGAACTAGTATTCCTCCTAAAAATACTAAAAATAAAATATAAGAAAATCAAAATGTTTTAGTTATTAATCCTGAAATTATTGAAACTAAAATAGTTTGAATAAGTAAGGTTAATCCCATAGCTAATGGATGTTTAATATTTATAATAATAAAATTAAAAATAAATAGAAGAGTTATTAAAATTCATTGTATAATATCAAGAAATAGTTTAATTAAAATATTAATTTTGGGGATTAATGATAAAGAAATTTCTTTTTTCTTGAAGTTTTAAAAGAGTAACTCTTATTTTTGGTTTACAAGACCAATGTTTTTATTAAACTATTAAAACTAATGTTAATAATTTTAAATTGATGTTTACCTAGAATTTTATTTATTATAGGAGTATTTACTTTTGTTTCTAATCGAAAGCATTTATTATCTATATTATTAAGATTAGAATATATTGTTTTAAGATTATTTCTTTTATTATTTGTATATTTAAATATATATAATTATGAAAATTTTTTTAGAATAATATTTTTAACTTTTAGAGTATGTGAAGGTGCTTTAGGTCTTTCAATTTTAGTTTCAATAATTCGTACACATGGAAATGATTATTTTCAAAGATTTAATGTATTACAATGTTAAAAATTATTTTTATAGTTTTATTTTTATTTCCTTTATGTTTTATTAAAAATTCATATTGAATGGTTCAAAGTTTTTTATTTTTTATTTCTTTTATTTTTATTTTAATAAATATATATTCAAATTATTTTATATCAATTTCTTATATATTTGGTTCAGATATAATTTCTTATGGATTAATTTTATTAAGATTGTGAATTGTTTCTTTAATGTTAATAGCAAGAGAATCAGTGTTTAAATATAATAATTATGTTAATTTATTTTTATTTAATATTATTTTATTGTTATTAATATTAGTATTAACTTTTAGAAGTATAAGTTTATTTATATTTTATTTATTTTTTGAAAGAAGTTTAATTCCTACTTTATTTTTAATTTTAGGTTGGGGTTATCAACCTGAACGGTTACAAGCGGGAGTATATTTATTATTTTATACATTGTTAGTTTCTTTACCAATATTAATTGGTATTTTTTATTTATATAAGGTAACAAATACTATAAATTTTTATTTATTAAATAATTATATATTTAATTATGAAATTTTATATTTTTCTTTAATTATAGCATTTTTAGTAAAAATACCAATATTTTTAGTTCATTTGTGATTACCAAAGGCTCATGTAGAAGCTCCAGTTTCTGGGTCAATAATTTTAGCTGGAATTATATTAAAGTTAGGAGGTTATGGTTTATTACGAGTATTTCCTTTTTTACAATTATTAGGTCTAAAATTTAATTTTATTTGAATTAGAATTAGATTAGTTGGAGGAGTATTAGTTAGTTTGACATGTTTATGTCAAACTGATTTAAAGGCTTTAATCGCTTATTCTTCAGTTGCTCATATAGGAATTGTTTTAGCTGGGTTAATAACTATAACATATATAGGAATATGTGGTTCTTATACTTTAATAATTGCTCATGGATTATGTTCTTCTGGATTATTTTGTTTAGCAAATATTTCTTATGAACGATTAGGAAGACGAAGTTTATTAATTAATAAGGGTTTATTAAATTTTATACCTTCAATGGCTTTATGATGATTTTTATTAAGTTCTGCTAATATAGCAGCTCCTCCTACTTTAAATTTATTAGGAGAAATTTCTTTGATTAATAGAATTGTTAGTTGATCTTGATTAACAATATTAATGTTATCTTTATTGTCTTTCTTTAGAGCTGCTTATACATTATATTTATATGCTTATAGACAACATGGAAAGTTATTTTCTGGAGTTTATTCTTTTAGAGGAGGAAAGATTCGAGAATATTTATTATTATTTTTACATTGATTTCCTTTAAATTTATTAATTTTAAAGGGGGATATATGTATGTTATGATTATAATTATTTAAATAGTTTAATAAAAATATTGATTTGTGGTGTCAATGATAAGATAAAAATCTTTTTAAATCGTGAAATATTTATCAATTTGTTCAATTAGATTCATTAGTTTATTTTTTTTAGACTTTTGTCATTTACTATAGGATTAATTTTTATTATAAATGATTTTACAATTTTTATTGAATGAGAAGTTGTTTCTATAAATTCTTTAATAATTGTAATAACAATTTTATTAGATTGAATAAGATTAATTTTTATATCTTTTGTATTAATAATTTCTTCTTTAGTTATTTATTATAGAAAGGAATATATAGAAAGAGATTATAAGATTAATCGATTTATTATATTAGTATTAATATTTGTAACTTCAATAATATTATTAATTATTAGTCCAAATTTAATTAGAATTTTATTAGGTTGAGATGGATTAGGGTTAGTTTCTTATTGTTTAGTAATTTATTTTCAAAATATTAAGTCATATAATGCTGGTATATTAACTGCTTTATCAAATCGAATTGGAGATGTAGCTTTATTATTAGCAATTGCTTGAATATTAAATTATGGTAGTTGAAATTATATTTTTTATTTAGATGTAATGCAATCTGATAGAGAAATGTTAATTGTTGGTATATTAGTAATATTAGCTGCAATAACAAAAAGTGCACAGATTCCATTTTCTTCTTGATTACCAGCTGCAATAGCAGCTCCTACTCCAGTATCGGCTTTAGTTCATTCTTCAACTTTAGTAACAGCTGGAGTTTATTTATTAATTCGATTTAATATTGTATTAAGAACAAGTTGAATGGGTAATTTATTACTATTATTATCAGGTTTAACAATATTTATAGCTGGATTAGGTGCTAATTATGAATTTGATTTAAAGAAGATTATTGCTTTATCTACTTTAAGACAATTAGGTTTAATAATAAGAATTTTATCTATAGGTTATTATAAATTAGCTTTTTTTCATTTATTAACTCATGCATTATTTAAGGCTTTATTATTTATATGTGCAGGAGCAATTATTCATAATATGAACAATAATCAAGATATTCGTTTAATGGGAAGTTTAAGATTAATAATACCATTAACTTCTTCTTGTTTTAATGTTGCAAATTTAGCATTATGTGGAATACCATTTTTAGCAGGATTTTATTCAAAGGATTTAATTTTGGAAATAGTATCATTTTCTTATATTAATTTATTTTCTTTCTTTCTATATTTTTTTTCAACAGGGTTAACAGTATGTTATTCTTTTCGATTAGTTTATTATTCAATAACTGGAGATTCTAATTTTTCTTCTTTAAATATACTTAATGATGAAGGTTGAGTAATATTAAAGAGTATAATAGGTTTATTAATTTTAAGAATTGTAGGAGGAAGTATATTAAGTTGATTAATTTTTCCTACTCCGGAAGTTATTATTTTACCTTTAAATTTAAAGTTATTGACTTTATTTGTATGTATTATTGGTGGTTTAATAGGTTATTTAATTTCTAATGTATCTTTATTTTTTATAAATAAGGCTTTAAGAAATTATAATTTTTCTTATTTTTTAGGCTCAATATGATTTATACCTTATATTTCTACTTATGGAATTATTAATTATCCTTTAATTTTAGGTAAAATAAGAATTAAATCATTTGACCAAGGTTGATCTGAATATTTTGGGGGTCAACAACTTTATTATAATTTAGTTAAAAATTCTCAGTTAAATCAAATATTACAAAATAATAATTTAAAAATTTATTTATTAAGTTTTATTTTTTGAATTGTAATTTTATACATATATATAATTTGTTTCTATTCAAATAGCTTATATTTAGAGTATAACACTGAAGATGTTAGGGAGATTAATTAATCTTTGAATATACTGAATTATTTTTAGTAATTTATAAAATAAAATTATTTAATTTTACAATGAAAATGTAATGTTTTTATTAAACTATATAAATAGAAGTATAAATGGAATTTAACCATTAAAAGAAAAAAGTTAGCAGCTTTTACTTGAACATCATACTTCCTTAATTGGAGTTTAGAACTCAATTCTATCATTAACAGTGATAAGCCGCTTTTTGGCTTCAATTAATTATTTAAGAATAAGGGTAAATTTACCTAAGATTAGGTCGAAACTAATTGCAATATATCGCTTCATATTCAAGGTAGATTGAAAATTCAATACTTTTTGAATGCAAATCAAATGTTATAATTAACTACAACCCTGTTTAGTTTGATCAATTTAATATTCCTTGATTTCATTCATGATAAAGTCCTAATAATAGAATTAAAATAAAAATAATAGACGTAATTGTTCAGCATATAATATTTGAAAATTTAATAATTAAAATAATTGGTAAAATTAATGCAATTTCTACGTCAAAAATTAAAAAAATAATAGTAATTAAAAAAAATCGAAGTGAAAAAGGTAAACGAGATGATGATTTTGGGTCAAATCCACATTCGAATGGTGAAGCTTTTTCACGATCTACAATTGTTTTTTTAGATAAAATTGAAGCTAAAAGTATAACTACTATAGAAATTAATAGAAGGATTGAACTAATTGTTAAAATTGAAAAAATTATCTATACTATTAATAATAGACCATATGATTGGAAGTCAAATATACTTTTTATACTATATAGATAATAAATTATCCTCCTCATCAGTAAATAGATACATAAAGGAATAATCAAACAATATCAACAAAATGTCAATATCAAGCAGCAGCTTCAAATCCAAAGTGGTGATTTTTTGAAAAGTGGTTATTTAAATGTCGACCTAAACAAACAATTAAAAAAGTTGTTCCAATTAATACATGAAGACCATGAAATCCTGTTGCTATAAAGAAAGTAGAACCGTAAACTGAATCTGCAATTGTGAATGGAGCTTCAATATATTCATAAGCTTGAAGAATTGTAAAGTAAATTCCTAATAATACTGTAAAAAATAATCCTTGTGTAGTTTGTGAATGATTGCCTTCCATTAAACTATGATGAGTTCAAGTTACAGTAATTCCAGAAGTTAGTAAAATTACAGTATTTAATAAAGGAATTTGGAATGGATTGAAAGGAGTAATTCCTAAAGGTGGTCATATTGCTCCTAATTCAATTGAAGGAGATAAGCTACTATGGAAAAATGCTCAAAAAAATGAAACGAAAAATAAAACTTCTGAAAGAATAAATAAAATTATTCCTCATCGTAAACCTGTAGTAACAGAAAGTGTATGAAGACCTTGATATGTTCCTTCTCGAGAAACATCTCGTCATCATTGGTACACAGTTAAAATTGTAATAACATTTCCTAATAAGAATAATGAATTATCATATTGATGAAATCATTTTACTATTCCTGCAACTGTTGTTATAGCTCCAATTGATGCTGTTAATGGTCATGGACTATAGTCTACTAAATGAAATGGGTGATTTGAATGTGTTGACATTAATTAACTTCTCTAGAATATAATGTTCTTAGAACAGCAAATACGTATGATTGAATTATTGCAACTGCTGATTCTAAAACTAATAGTGCAATTTGTGTAATAATTAAAAAACTAATTAATACTATAGATAAAGAAGGTCCTGTATTTCCTAAAAGAGTAAGAAGTAGATGTCCAGCAATTATATTAGCTGTTAATCGAACAGCTAAAGTTCCTGGTCGAATTACATTACTAATAGTTTCAATGCATACTATAAATGGTATTAAAATAGCTGGAGTTCCTTGAGGAACTAAATGAGCAAATATATGTTGAGTATTATTAATTCATCCATATAATATAAAACATAATCATAAAGGAAGAGCTAAAGTTAGAGTTAAAGTTAAATGACTTGTTCTTGTAAAAATATATGGAAATAATCCTATAAAATTATTAAATAAAATTATAGAAAATAATGAAACGAAAATAAATGTAGAACCGTTTGCTCCTATAGGACCAAGTAAAGTTTTAAATTCCTTATGAAGTGTTAATAAAATATTATTTCAAAAAATGTGGTATCGAGATGGTATAAGTCAGTATATTGATGGAATCATTAAAATTCCTAAAAAAGTTCTTAATCAATTTAATGAAAGATTAAAAATACTTGATGAAGGGTCAAAAACAGAGAATAAATTTGTTATCATTTTCAATTTAATGACTTTGTTGAATGAGTTTTATTACTTAAATTTGATTTAGGTATTGAAGGAATATATGAATAGTAATTTATTACATTAAAAATTACAAATGTAATTGAAAAAATAATAAATAAGCTTAATCAACCAATTGGTGCTATTTGAGGGATTAAAAAATATTAATAAATTAATAATTTTAGTTTGACAAACTAATGTTATATTTTTAACTAATTTTTTCATTAGAAGTAAGTGCTAATTTACTATAAAATGGTTTAAGAGACCAGTACTTGCTTTCAGTCATCTAATGAAGAATTATTTTTAGAAATTCACTTAATAAAATAATTTACAGGAATACTTTCAATTACAATTGGTATAAAACTATGATTAGCTCCACAAATTTCTGAACATTGTCCATAGAATAAACCTGGTCGATTAATTAAGAAATTAGTTTGATTTAGACGACCAGGAGTACCATCAACCTTTACACCTAAAGCAGGAACAGTTCATGAATGAATTACATCAGCAGCAGTTACTAAAATTCGAATTTGAGAATTTATTGGTAAAACTACTCGATTATCTACATCTAATAAACGAAATCCGTCTACTGGTAATTCATTTGTAGGAATTATATAAGAATCAAATTCAACATTATTAAAATCTGAATATTCATAACTTCAATATCATTGATGACCAATAGCCTTTAAAGTTACTGATGGTTCATTAATTTCATCTAATAAGTATAATAATCGTAAAGAAGGGAAAGCAATGAATAATAAAATAATTGCAGGTAAAATAGTTCAAATAATTTCAATTGTTTGTCCATGTAATAAATAACGATTAACATATTTATTAAAAAATAATGTAAACATTAAATATCCGACTAATACTGTAATTATTACTAAAATTATTAATGCATGATCATGAAAAAAAATTAATTGTTCTATTAATGGAGAAGAACTATCTTGTAAACCTAAATTTGCTCATGTTGACATTAGTTTCTAATAAAAGTAAAATACTTTATATATGGAGCTTAAATCCATTGCACTAATCTGCCATATTAGAAATTAGTTAGTAAAGGCAATTCATTATATCTGTGTTCAGCAGGTGGAGTATTTTGTAATCATTCAATTGATGAATTTAATTGAATTGGGAAAATTACTTGTCGTTGAGATACTAAACTTTCTCAGATAATATAGAATAAATATAAAATTCCTAATAATGAAATTGTTGAACCGATTGTTGAAATTACATTTCATGCTGTATAAGCATCAGGATAATCAGAATATCGTCGAGGTATTCCGGCTAATCCTAAGAAATGTTGAGGAAAGAATGTTAAATTTACTCCAATAAATATAATAACAAATTGACTTTTTAAAAGTTTATTATTTAGAGTTAATCCAGTAAATAGAGGGTATCAATGTACAAATCCTGCTATAATAGCAAATACAGCTCCTATAGAAAGTACATAGTGGAAATGAGCAACTACATAATATGTATCATGTAAAATAATATCAACAGATGAGTTAGCTAGTACTACTCCTGTTAAACCTCCTACAGTAAATAAGAATACGAATCCTAAAGCTCATAAAATAGCTGGAGAATAAGTTAGTTGAGTTCCGTATAATGTAGCTAATCAACTAAAAATCTTAATTCCAGTAGGTACAGCAATAATTATTGTAGCTGAAGTGAAGTAAGCTCGAGTATCAACGTCTATTCCAACAGTAAATATGTGATGAGCTCATACAATAAATCCTAAAAGTCCAATTGCTAACATAGCATAAATTATTCCTAAAGAACCGAATGTTTCCTTCTTTCCTGATTCTTGACTAATAATATGAGAAATTATTCCAAATCCAGGTAAAATTAAAATATAAACTTCTGGATGTCCAAAGAATCAGAATAAGTGTTGGTAAAGAATTGGATCACCTCCTCCAGCTGGGTCAAAGAATGAAGTATTTAAATTTCGATCAGTTAATAGTATAGTAATAGCTCCAGCAAGAACAGGAAGAGATAATAATAATAATAATGCAGTAATTACAACTGATCAAACAAATAAAGGCATTCGATCGAATGTAATTCCTGTTGATCGTATGTTAATAACAGTTGTAATAAAATTTACTGCTCCTAAAATTGAAGAAATTCCTGCTAAGTGAAGAGAGAAAATAGCTAAATCAACTGAAGCTCCACCATGAGCAATAATTGATGATAAAGGTGGATAAACAGTTCAACCTGTTCCAGCTCCCTTTTCTACTATACTTCTTACTAATAATAGAGTTAATGCAGGAGGTAATAATCAAAAACTTATATTATTCATTCGAGGGAATGCTATATCTGGAGCTCCTAATATTAAAGGAACTAATCAATTTCCAAACCCTCCAATTATAATAGGTATTACTATAAAGAAAATTATAATAAAAGCATGAGCTGTTACAATAACATTATAAATTTGATCGTCTCCAATTAGAGCACCAGGGTGTCCTAATTCAGCTCGAATTAAAATTCTTAATGATGTTCCTACTATACCAGATCATGCTCCGAAGATAAAATATAAAGTACCAATATCTTTATGATTAGTAGAAAATAACCATTGTTGCGATTAAATGGCTGAAGTTTAGGCAATAGATTGTAAATTTATTTATGAGAATTTTTCTCTTTAATCAATTAGCTTTATAGTCAATAATGACATTAGACTGCAATTCTAAAGGAGTAATAAATTTACTAAGGCTTAAAAGATTATTCTTATATTGATAGCTTTGAAGGCTATTAGTTTATTTAACTTAAAGCCTTAAAAAAAGAAATATAAGGAAGAAGTTAAAAATAACCCAAAAGTTGAAATATAAGAAAAAGTTAATAAAAGCTTTATATTTGAAGACTTATAATATGAAAATGTTATTCAACTATTTTCATAATAGTTTAGTATAAAAGCACTATAACATAATCGAATATAAAAATATAAAGTAATTAATGTTATTATTACTATAAAAGTTAATAAAAATAATTGATTATTTATAGTTAAAGATTGAATTACAAATATTTTTGGTAAGAACCCTAAAAATGGGGGTAATCCTCCTAATGAAAGAAGATTAAAAAATAAGAAAAATTTAATTCTTTTTTCATGGAAAAATAAAGAAAATAATTGATTAATATAAGAAATTTTAAACATATTAAATATTAACACTATTGAAAATGTTAAAAATGTATAAAATAAAAAATATACTAGTCAAATATTTCTATTATATATTGCAGCTAACATTCATCCTAAATGGTTAATTGAAGAATAAGCTATTAATTTACGTAAAGAAGTTTGATTTAAACCTCCTAATGCACCAATTAAACTTGATAAAATAATTCTGATAATAATTAATGGCTTAAAAATTACATAAGAAATTAATATTAACGGAGCAATTTTTTGTCAAGTTATTAAAATTAATGCATTAATTCATGATAATCCTTCTATTACATTAGGGAATCAAAAATGGAAAGGAGCAGAACCTCTCTTTAATAATAAAGAAGAAAGAATAATTATTTCTATTAAATTTGCATTATTTTTACCAGTATTAAGTAAAAATAAAATTACTGCAAATAAAAATACAGAAGAAGCTAGTGCTTGAGTTAAAAAGTACTTTAAAGATGCTTCTGTAGATATTAATTTATTATCTCTTATTAGGGGGATAAAAGCTAACAAATTAATTTCTAAACCTATTCAGGCTCCTATTCAAGAGTTTGCTGAAATTGCAATTAAAGATCCTATTATTAAAATAGTTAAAAATATAATTTTTGATGAATTATTAAAAATTAAAAAGAAAAGGATTAGAACCTTTATAAATGGGGTATGAGCCCAGTAGCTTAATTAGCTTATCTTTTTATAATAAATATATTTTGGTGTACGATGCACAAAAGTTTTTGATACTTTTAGAAATAGTTTAATTCTATTAAATATAATGAATGTAATATTAATTACATAATTTACCCTATCAAGGTAACCCTTTTATCAGGCAATTCATTCAATGCAATGAGGCTCTTTTTTTTTTTTTTTTTTTTTATATATTTATACATAATTTTTGAGAAAAATTTATAATTTTTTTTTATTAATTAATTAATTTATAGAATTAAAAATAGTAATTTTAAAATTTAAAGCACTAATCTATAAAGATAATTTTTTATTTTTTTTAAAAAAATAAGCAAAAAATTAATTTAGATAATTAATTTATGCATATATATATATATATATATTTCTCTATATAAAATTACATATTAATACAAATCTTATATTATAATAATAGGGAAATATAATTATATAAATTATATTATAATATATATTTTATTTATGTAATTACTTATTAATATATAAATTATTTATATAATGTATACTATATATTAGACATTAGATGACTATTAATAGATAAATACCTGAATAATCAAGATTAATCGTACTATTATGCTTAATTGGATGGTTGTGAAATTTTTTTTTGATTTGGATTAATATTCATCTATTAATTAATTAAATATTTATTAATATATATATGAATACCTAGATTAATATCTATCTATTAATCAATTAAATATTTATATATATAGATGTATAACGAATATAGTATATAGACTAAATTTCAGATTTTGTAACGCTCAATATAAAAATAGAGACCTATTATTGTATAAATTATATATTATTAAAATATAAGAAATCAATTAGAAAAAAATAATAACATTAAAAAATATTTATAATTTTTAAAAAATTTTTTTTTAAAAAAAAAAAAAAAAAAAAAATTTCGAGATTTTTTTTAAAAAAAAAATTTTTTAAAAATCTAAAAATTTAAATTTTGATTTATTTTAAAAAATTTTTTAAAAATCTAAAAATTTAATTTTGATTTATTTCATAAAATATAATTAAATTTTTATTTATAAATTATTTGTTTACTATATTTAATTATTTATTAAATTATTATATTTAAAAAATTTTTTATTTTTTTTTAAAAAAAATCTATTAAAATATAATTATATTAGGGGATATAATTGGTTTTTTTTTATGTTAAAAATAACATTTATTTTGTATTATTAATATTTTATAAAATTATATAGGGGTATGTTTTATAAATATTAATTATAAATAAATTATTTATGTTTTTTTAATTAAAAAAATTATAAATATGATAAATTAATTGATTCAAAATTTGCGTGAGTAATTACCAATTTTATATTATTTAATAATATTCGTTATTAATAATTCTAATTTTTATGTTTTAATTTAAATTTTTAAATTTTAAATAATTTTTAAAATTTTTATAAATTAAGTTTAAAGTTTTATTTTAGCTTAAAAATTTATTATTAGTTTAATTTATATGTAAATTTTTGTATGAATTTTTATTTATTTTGATAATAAATAAAATAATTTATATTCGCAGTAATTAGTATTATTAATTAGAGAAATCTAGAAATAGTAATATTAAAGAGTATTGGCTAAATTTGTGCCAGCAGCCGCGGTTATACGAATAATGCAAATAAATTTTTTCAGTAAAAGTTAAATTGTTTAATTTAAAATAAAATATAATTTATTAGGTGAAATTTTTAAATTATAAATTGTTTTTTAAATAATTAATTGAAGCTTAAAAATTTTAATAATAAACTAGGATTAGATACCCTATTATTTAAAATGTAAAAGGAATTACTTAGGTAGTAGTAGTTATGTTCTTGAAACTTAAAAAATTTGGCGGTATTTTAGTCTATTCAGAGGAACCTGTTCTGTAATCGATAATCCACGATGGACCTTACTTAAATTTGTTTAGTTTATATACCGTCGTTATTAGAATATTTTATAAGAATGTTAATTTTCAAAATTTTATAAAAGAAAATATATCAGATCAAGGTGTAGCTTATATTTAAGTAGAAATGGGTTACAATAAATTTATTTAAACGAATATAAATTTGAAATGTTTATTGAAGGTGGATTTGATAGTAAAATTATAAAGATTAATAATTTGATTTTAGCTCTAAAATATGTACACATCGCCCGTCACTCTTATTACTAAGATAAGATAAGTCGTAACATAGTAGATGTACTGGAAAGTGTATCTAGAATGCAATTTAAAGCTTATTCAGTAAAGCATTTCATTTACATTGAAAAGATTTTTGTGCAAATCAATATAAATTGATTAGATTTTATTTATTAATTTTTATTGTTTTTTATCTATTTTATTAAAAATAATTATAAAGTGATTATGTTTTAGTATTTTATAAAGAAAAAATAAATTTAATTATAGTGAATTAGTATTGTGAAAGAAAATTGAAATAATTTGAAAAATTATTATTTTAAAAGAAAATTTAATTTATTGTACCTTGTGTATCAGGGTTTATCAAATAAAAATTAAATATTTAATTTTCTCGATTTTAAAAGAGTTAATATATTATGAAAGTTAATGTGGCAAAATTATTTTTAATAATATATTAGAAATGAAATGTTATTCGTTTTTAAAGGTATCTAGTTCTTTAAGAAATAAATTTAATTTAGAAATTTTATATTATTTAGTTAGTTAAATTAATTAAATAATTATTTAATTTTAATATTTTATGGGATAAGCTGTAAAATAAATTATTAAAAATATTTAAATAATATAATAAATATAGATTTAGAAATAGTTATTATTAGTAAAAGTGTTATAATTTATTTTATAAATGTTAATTATTTATTTAAATTTTAATTTTTTATTAAAGTATTCATTTTAATTTTAAAAATGAAGTAATAATGATAAAATTAGTATATATTTATGTATAAATAAGTTTATATGAAAAGTTTTTATAAAGAACTCGGCAAAATTAATGTTCGCCTGTTTAACAAAAACATGTCTTTTTGAATTATTTAAAAAGTCTAACCTGCCCACTGAATTATTTTAAATGGCCGCAGTATCCTAACTGTGCAAAGGTAGCATAATCATTAGTCTTTTAATTGAAGGCTGGTATGAATGGTTGGACGAGATATTAACTGTTTCATAAAAATTTATAATAGAATTTTATTTTTTAGTCAAAAAGCTAAAATAAATTTAAAAGACGAGAAGACCCTATAAATCTTTATATTTAGATAATTACAATTTTGTGGATTTTTTTTGTTGTGATTGTTGATAATATTTTATTGGGGTGATATTAAAATTTAAAAAACTTTTAATTAATTAAATCATTAATTTATGAATAATTGATCCGTTATTAACGATTAAAAATTTAAGTTACTTTAGGGATAACAGCGTAATTTTTTTGGAGAGTTCATATTGATAAAAAAGATTGCGACCTCGATGTTGGATTAAGAGATATATTTTGGTGCAGTCGCTAAAATGTTAAGTCTGTTCGACTTTTAAATTCTTACATGATCTGAGTTCAAACCGGTGTAAGCCAGGTTGGTTTCTATCTTTAAAAAATTAAAATATTTCAGTACGAAAGGACCTAATATTTGATAAATTATTATTTTTATAATTGAATATAATTAATTTACTATTTTGGCAGATTAGTGCAATAAATTTAGAATTTATATATGTAATTTATATTACAAATAGTACATGTTTTATTTAGAAAATTTATTATTTATTATTGGTAGTTTATTATTAGTAATTTGTGTTTTAGTAAGAGTTGCATTTTTGACACTTTTAGAACGAAAGGTATTAGGTTATATTCAAATTCGTAAGGGGCCTAATAAGGTAGGAATTATAGGAATTCCTCAACCTTTTTGTGATGCAATTAAATTATTTACTAAGGAACAAACTTATCCTTTATTATCAAATTATATTTCTTATTATTTTTCTCCTATTTTTTCACTATTTTTATCTTTATTGGTATGAATATGTATACCTTTATTTATTAAATTATTTTCTTTTAATTTAGGTTTATTATTTTTTTTATGTTGTACAAGTTTAGGAGTATATACTGTAATAATTGCTGGTTGATCTTCAAATTCTAATTATGCTTTATTAGGAGGTTTACGAGCTGTTGCTCAAACTATTTCTTATGAAGTAAGATTAGCTTTAGTATTATTAAGTTTTATTTTTTTAATTGGGGGTTATAATATATTAATATTTTATAAGTATCAATTATTTATTTGATTTTTATTTTTAATGTTTCCAATAGCATTAGTTTGATTTAGAATTTCATTAGCTGAAACAAATCGAACACCTTTTGATTTTGCTGAAGGTGAATCTGAATTAGTTTCTGGATTTAATATTGAATATAGAAGAGGAGGATTTGCATTAATTTTTTTGGCTGAATATGCAAGTATTTTATTTATAAGAATATTATTTTGTGTAATATTTTTAGGATGTGATGTGTTTTCTTTTTCTTTTTATTTAAAGTTAACATTTGTTTCTTTTATATTTATTTGAGTCCGTGGAACTTTACCTCGATTCCGCTATGATAAATTAATATATTTAGCTTGAAAGAGATTTTTACCTTTTTCGTTAAATTTTTTATTATTTTTTGTAGGATTTAAGATTTTTTTATTATATTTATTATAGTGAATTTTATTTAGTAAAAGTTAATAGAAAATTAGATTTCTATCTTATGTTTTCAAAACATATGCTTATTTCAAGCTCATTAACTAATTTAATAAATTATCTCATCACTTTGTTACTAAAGGATTAAATAAGAAATAAGAGAAATAAACTACTGTTAAAATTTGACCAACTAAAACGTAAGGAGCTTCAACTGGTCGAGCGCCAATTCATGTTAATAAAATAACTGTAACTACTATTGTTCAGAATATAATTTTATTAATTGGATAAAATTGGATTCCTCGGAACTTTCTTAAGTGATAAAAAGGTAAAATTGCTAAAATTGCAATTGATAAAACTAATGCAATTACTCCTCCTAACTTATTTGGAATAGATCGAAGAATAGCATAAGCGAATAAAAAGTATCATTCAGGTTGAATATGAACAGGTGTAACTAAAGGATTAGCGGGGATAAAATTATCAGGGTCTCCTAATAAGTATGGATTAATTAATACTAATAAAATTAAAATTATTGTTATAATAATAAATCCAACGATATCCTTATAAGTAAAATAAGGATGGAAAGGAATTTTATCAATATTAGAATTTAATCCAATAGGATTATTTGAACCGGTTTCATGTAAAAATAATAAATGGATTATTGTTATTGCTAATACAATAAAAGGTAAAATAAAATGGAAAGTGAAAAATCGAGTTAAAGTCGCATTGTCTACAGCAAATCCTCCTCAAACTCATTGTACTAAGTCAATTCCTAAATAAGGAATAGCTGATAATAAATTAGTAATAACTGTTGCTCCTCAGAAAGATATTTGTCCTCAAGGAAGAACGTATCCTATAAAAGCTGTTCCTATAACTAGAAATAAAATAATTACTCCTACTAGTCAGGTTGGTGTATATAAATATGATCCATAATATATTCCTCGTCCTACATGTAGATAAATGCAAATAAAGAAAAATGATGCACCATTAGCATGTAAAGTTCGTAATAATCAACCATAATTAACGTCTCGACAAATATTATTTACTCTATTAAATGCTAAATTAATATCTGCTGTATAATGTATAGCAAGAAATAATCCAGTTAAAATTTGAATAATTAAACATAAACCTAGTAATGATCCGAAATTTCATCATGATGAAATATTACTTGGAGCAGGTAGGTCTACTAATGCATTATTTGCAATATTTAAAATTGGATGTTTAAGTCGTAAAGGTTTGTTCATTAGTTAATTAAATATAGGTCGTAAAGGTCCCTTAAATAAATTAGTAATTTTTACTACTGCAATTAATGTAATTAATAAATAATTTATTAATAAAATTGTTAACAAATTAGTTGGATAATTATATAGTTTGTTTAAAGAAAGAGAATTTTCTATTATATATGAATTTAAATTAGAAATTGATTGAATTTCTATATTAGAATAATTTAATAGAATTCTTTTGTCAATAAAATATAATGAAATAATTATAATAAAAAAAATAGAAATTGATGAAATCAAAATTTTTGAAGAAAATGTAAATATTTCATTTGAAGCTAAAGAAGTTACATAAATGAATAGAACTAGTATTCCTCCTAAAAATACTAAAAATAAAATATAAGAAAATCAAAATGTTTTAGTTATTAATCCTGAAATTATTGAAACTAAAATAGTTTGAATAAGTAAGGTTAATCCCATAGCTAATGGATGTTTAATATTTATAATAATAAAATTAAAAATAAATAGAAGAGTTATTAAAATTCATTGTATAATATCAAGAAATAGTTTAATTAAAATATTAATTTTGGGGATTAATGATAAAGAAATTTCTTTTTTCTTGAAGTTTTAAAAGAGTAACTCTTATTTTTGGTTTACAAGACCAATGTTTTTATTAAACTATTAAAACTAATGTTAATAATTTTAAATTGATGTTTACCTAGAATTTTATTTATTATAGGAGTATTTACTTTTGTTTCTAATCGAAAGCATTTATTATCTATATTATTAAGATTAGAATATATTGTTTTAAGATTATTTCTTTTATTATTTGTATATTTAAATATATATAATTATGAAAATTTTTTTAGAATAATATTTTTAACTTTTAGAGTATGTGAAGGTGCTTTAGGTCTTTCAATTTTAGTTTCAATAATTCGTACACATGGAAATGATTATTTTCAAAGATTTAATGTATTACAATGTTAAAAATTATTTTTATAGTTTTATTTTTATTTCCTTTATGTTTTATTAAAAATTCATATTGAATGGTTCAAAGTTTTTTATTTTTTATTTCTTTTATTTTTATTTTAATAAATATATATTCAAATTATTTTATATCAATTTCTTATATATTTGGTTCAGATATAATTTCTTATGGATTAATTTTATTAAGATTGTGAATTGTTTCTTTAATGTTAATAGCAAGAGAATCAGTGTTTAAATATAATAATTATGTAAATTTATTTTTATTTAATATTATTTTATTGTTATTAATATTAGTATTAACTTTTAGAAGTATAAGTTTATTTATATTTTATTTATTTTTTGAAAGTAGTTTAATTCCTACTTTATTTTTAATTTTAGGTTGGGGTTATCAACCTGAACGGTTACAAGCGGGAGTATATTTATTATTTTATACATTGTTAGTTTCTTTACCAATATTAATTGGTATTTTTTATTTATATAAGGTAACAAATACTATAAATTTTTATTTATTAAATAATTATATATTTAATTATGAAATTTTATATTTTTCTTTAGTTATAGCATTTTTAGTAAAAATACCAATATTTTTAGTTCACTTGTGATTACCAAAGGCTCATGTAGAAGCTCCAGTTTCTGGTTCAATAATTTTAGCTGGAATTATATTAAAGTTAGGAGGTTATGGTTTATTACGAGTATTTCCTTTTTTACAATTATTAGGGCTTAAATTTAATTTTATTTGAATTAGAATTAGATTAGTTGGAGGAGTATTAGTTAGTTTAACATGTTTATGTCAAACTGATTTAAAGGCTTTAATTGCTTATTCTTCAGTTGCTCATATAGGAATTGTTTTAGCTGGGTTAATAACTATAACATATATAGGAATATGCGGTTCTTATACTTTAATAATTGCTCATGGATTATGTTCTTCTGGATTATTTTGTTTAGCAAATATTTCTTATGAACGATTAGGAAGACGAAGTTTATTAATTAATAAGGGTTTATTAAATTTTATACCTTCAATGGCTTTATGATGATTTTTATTAAGTTCTGCTAATATAGCAGCTCCTCCTACTTTAAATTTATTAGGAGAAATTTCTTTGATTAATAGAATTGTTAGTTGATCTTGATTAACAATATTAATGTTATCTTTATTGTCTTTCTTTAGAGCTGCTTATACATTATATTTATATGCTTATAGACAACATGGAAAGTTATTTTCTGGAGTTTATTCTTTTAGAGGAGGAAAGATTCGAGAATATTTATTATTATTTTTACATTGATTTCCTTTAAATTTATTAATTTTAAAGGGGGATATATGTATGTTATGATTATAATTATTTAAATAGTTTAATAAAAATATTGATTTGTGGTGTCAATGATAAGATAAAAATCTTTTTAAATCGTGAAATATTTATCAATTTGTTCAATTAGATTCATTAGTTTATTTTTTTTAGACTTTTGTCATTTACTATAGGATTAATTTTTATTATAAATGATTTTACAATTTTATTAGATTGAATAAGATTAATTTTTATGTCTTTTGTATTAATAATTTCTTCTTTAGTTATTTATTATAGAAAGGAATATATAGAAAGAGATTATAAGATTAATCGATTTATTATATTAGTATTAATATTTGTAACTTCAATAATATTATTAATTATTAGTCCAAATTTAATTAGAATTTTATTAGGTTGAGATGGATTAGGGTTAGTTTCTTATTGTTTAGTAATTTATTTTCAAAATATTAAGTCATATAATGCTGGTATGTTAACTGCTTTATCAAATCGAATTGTAGATGTAGCTTTATTATTAGCAATTGCTTGAATATTAAATTATGGTAGTTGAAATTATATTTTTTATTTAGATGTGATGCAATCTGATAGAGAAATGTTAATTGTTGGTATATTAGTAATATTAGCTGCAATAACAAAAAGTGCACAGATTCCATTTTCTTCTTGATTACCAGCTGCAATAGCAGCTCCTACTCCAGTATCGGCTTTAGTTCATTCTTCAACTTTAGTAACAGCTGGAGTTTATTTATTAATTCGATTTAATATTGTATTAAGAACAAGTTGAATGGGTAATTTATTATTATTATTATCAGGTTTAACAATATTTATAGCTGGATTAGGTGCTAATTATGAATTTGATTTAAAGAAGATTATTGCTTTATCTACTTTAAGTCAATTAGGTTTAATAATAAGAATTTTATCTATAGGTTATTATAAATTAGCTTTTTTTCATTTATTAACTCATGCTTTATTTAAGGCTTTATTATTTATATGTGCAGGAGCAATTATTCATAATATGAACAATAATCAAGATATTCGTTTAATGGGAAGTTTAAGATTAATAATACCATTAACTTCTTCTTGTTTTAATGTTGCAAATTTAGCATTATGTGGAATACCATTTTTAGCAGGATTTTATTCAAAGGATTTAATTTTGGAAATAGTATCATTTTCTTATATTAATTTATTTTCTTTTTTTCTATATTTTTTTTCAACAGGGTTAACAGTATGTTATTCTTTTCGATTAGTTTATTATTCAATAACTGGAGATTCTAATTTTTCTTCTTTAAATATACTTAATGATGAAGGTTGAGTAATATTAAAGAGTATAATAGGTTTATTAATTTTAAGAATTGTAGGAGGAAGTATATTAAGTTGATGAATTTTTCCTACTCCGGAAGTTATTATTTTACCTTTAAATTTAAAGTTATTGACTTTATTTGTATGTATTATTGGTGGTTTAATAGGTTATTTAATTTCTAATGTATCTTTATTTTTTATAAATAAGGCTTTAAGAAATTATAATTTTTCTTATTTTTTAGGTTCAATATGATTTATACCTTATATTTCTACTTATGGAATTATTAATTATCCTTTAATTTTAGGTAAAATAAGAATTAAATCATTTGACCAAGGTTGATCTGAATATTTTGGGGGTCAACAACTTTATTACAATTTAATTAAAAATTCTCAGTTAAATCAAATATTACAAAATAATAATTTAAAAATTTATTTATTAAGTTTTATTTTTTGAATTGTAATTTTATACATATATAATTTGTTTCTATTCAAATAGCTTATATTTAGAGTATGACACTGAAGATGTTAGGGAGATTAATTAATCTTTGAATATACTGAATTATTTTTAGTAATTTATAAAATAAAATTATTTAATTTTACAATGAAAATGTAATGTTTTTATTAAACTATATAAATAGAAGTATAAATGGAATTTAACCATTAAAAGAAAAAAGTTAGCAGCTTTTACTTGAACATCATACTTCCTTAATTGGAGTTTAGAACTCAATTCTATCATTAACAGTGATAAGCCGCTTTTTGGCTTCAATTAATTATTTAAAAGAATAAGGGTAAATTTACCTAAGATTAGGTCGAAACTAATTGCAATATATCGCTTCATATTCAAGGTAGATTGAAAATTCAATACTTTTTGAATGCAAATCAAATGTTATAATTAACTACAACCCTATTTAGTTTGATCAATTTAATATTCCTTGATTTCATTCATGATAAAGTCCTAATAATAGAATTAAAATAAAAATAATAGACGTAATTGTTCAGCATATAATATTTGAAAATTTAATAATTAAAATAATTGGTAAAATTAATGCAATTTCTACGTCAAAAATTAAAAAAATAATAGTAATTAAAAAAAATCGAAGTGAAAAAGGTAAACGAGATGATGATTTTGGGTCAAATCCACATTCGAATGGTGAAGCTTTTTCACGATCTACAATTGTTTTTTTAGATAAAATTGAAGCTAAAAGTATAACTACTATAGAAATTAATAGAAGGATTGAACTAATTGTTAAAATTGAAAAAATTATCTATACTATTAATAATAGACCATATGATTGGAAGTCAAATATACTTTTTATACTATATAGATAATAAATTATCCTCCTCATCAGTAAATAGATACATAAAGGAATAATCAAACAATATCAACAAAATGTCAATATCAAGCAGCAGCTTCAAATCCAAAGTGGTGATTTTTTGAAAAGTGGTTATTTAAATGTCGACCTAAACAAACAATTAAAAAAGTTGTTCCAATTAATACATGAAGACCATGAAATCCTGTTGCTATAAAGAAAGTAGAACCGTAAACTGAATCTGCAATTGTGAATGGATCTTCAATATATTCATAAGCTTGAAGAATTGTGAAGTGAATTCCTAATAATACTGTAAAAAATAATCCTTGTGTAGTTTGTGAATGATTACCTTCCATTAAACTATGATGAGCTCAAGTTACAGTAATTCCAGAAGTTAGTAAAATTACAGTATTTAATAAAGGAATTTGGAATGGATTGAAAGGAGTAATTCCTAAAGGCGGTCATATTGCTCCTAATTCAATTGAAGGAGATAAACTACTATGGAAAAATGCTCAAAAAAATGAAACGAAAAATAAAACTTCTGAAAGAATAAATAAAATTATTCCTCATCGTAAACCTGTAGTAACAGAAAGTGTATGAAGACCTTGATATGTTCCTTCTCGAGAAACATCTCGTCATCATTGGTATACAGTTAAAATTGTAATAACATTTCCTAATAAGAATAATGAATTATTATATTGATGAAATCATTTTACTATTCCTGCAACTGTTGTTATAGCTCCAATTGATGCTGTTAATGGTCATGGACTATAATCTACTAAATGAAATGGGTGATTTGAATGTGTTGACATTAATTAACTTCTCTAGAATATAATGTTCTTAGAACAGCAAATACGTATGATTGAATTATTGCAACTGCTGATTCTAAAACTAATAATGCAATTTGTGTAATAATTAAAAAACTAATTAATACTATAGATAAAGAAGGTCCTGTATTTCCTAAAAGAGTAAGAAGTAGATGTCCAGCAATTATATTAGCTGTTAATCGAACAGCTAAAGTTCCTGGTCGAATTACATTACTAATAGTTTCAATGCATACTATAAATGGCATTAAAATAGCTGGAGTTCCTTGAGGAACTAAATGAGCAAATATATGTTGAGTATTGTTAATTCATCCATATAATATAAAACATAATCATAAAGGAAGAGCTAGAGTTAGAGTTAAAGTTAAATGACTTGTTCTTGTAAAAATATATGGAAATAATCCTATAAAATTATTAAATAAAATTATAGAAAATAATGAAACGAAAATAAATGTAGAACCGTTTGCTCCTATAGGACCAAGTAGAGTTTTAAATTCCTTATGAAGTGTTAATAAAATATTATTTCAAAAAATGTGGTATCGAGATGGTATAAGTCAGTATATTGATGGAATTATTAAAATTCCTAAAAAAGTTCTTAATCAATTTAATGAAAGATTAAAAATACTTGATGAAGGGTCAAAACAGAGAATAAATTTGTTATCATTTTCAATTTAATGACTTTGTTGAATGAGTTTTATTACTTAAAT